GGGTTACCTTGGTTGATGACTGGCTAATGGCTAAATGTTATGACATCATAAAGTGGCCAAAATCTGATCAACTCATTTACAGACTGGTTTTTATAGAAATGGATCAGGACAAAAAGTGAGCGAATCTTTTTTTCCTGAAACTTTCACAATCTCTTTACACAACGACATGAAAACGTGGATTTTGCATAATAGGTGACCTTTAATCCAATTTCTTCCTTTGAACTCCATCTAAAAAAGTGTCTCCTGACAAATATGAAATGTAGAGAGGCATATCTTCCATCTTCTAGAGCCATTATTCTTCTCCCTAAACCTCCTTTTATCTATCCTCAGTGGGAGGAGATCAGTGTGATGGATGAGAGGAATACGCCGATGAGGACGTACCAGGTGTGCAACGTCATGGAGGCCAACCAGAACAACTGGCTGAGGACACGCCACATCAGCCGCGAGGGAGCGCAGCGCGTCCACATCGAGATCAAGTTCACCCTGAGGGACTGTAACAGCCTGCCCGGGGTCCCTGGTACCTGCAAGGAGGTGAGGATCCCTTCACACACACACACACACACACACACACACACACACACACACACACACACACACACACACACACACACACACACACACACACACAGATGTGTAAGTGTGTGCAATTTGACATTTGATGTGGAGGCATTGGATATGTTTAAGATCTGGGGTTTGTTTAATTACAAATTGGACACTACAGCCCACGCAGCAGGCACTTTGTTGAGCGTGCTTAGCTAATCAACTAAATCATCAAATTAACTTCAATAACACTTCTCTGCGTTTTCAATTAAACCTGTCTGCTGTCTGATCTTCATATTTTGTCAAATAAAATTATGCAGTATGGCTTTTTCTGCTTTCATTTAACCGAGGAAATTATCTAGAAACTCGACACAGCAAACATTTATGAGAAGCAGAAACGCACTAGAAATTACCTTTTTGTTGTGAAGTGCATGAAGCCAGTTATTAATACTTATGAAAAAAACACTTAGTTGGAGTCCATACTGAATGATTTCAGTATTAGGCATTGTTTAAATCATCACATATTCAAGTGTAAGTCGTATATGTGGTAGTTTTTTGTGTCATGTAATTCCTTATTATGGAATCAATATGTATTCTGCACATTGTACTGTGCAGAGCAGCAAAGAGTGCATCATAAGTATTTTCATGATTTTATTTTTCAATCTTTTCCATTCTATTCTCACAAACACATAGATGATATTCACTTTAATGGCCAATGAATAAATACATAAATAGGCGACAGGCGGGAAAAGAATGGTGAGAGAAAGCTGCTGAATAAAACTGACGACGCTCCAGAGGCTTCATTTGTGGCTCCTCGTATATATTTTAACTTGTAATATATCTTTTTTTACTGTCCCCCGCTCAGTCATATCAGCCTGATATCGCTGCTCCTCTGTATTCATTTCTCTTTACTTTGTCTGCCCTCTGCGCCCTTTTCACTCTCATTACATCTTCAGAATGAGTAGTGGAGATAATATGAGACAGTGCAGAGCTGCACTTTGATGAAACTGCAGACAGTGTTGCTGACTGGTCTGTGAGACAGATGGTCTGAGACTTGAAGAGAAGCAGAAGAATAGCTGGAGAGCTATGCGAGTCTTGTTAAAATGTCACAATGGATGGACTTTTCACTTTTATCCGTCCTGTTTTACTGGGTGTTTTTCTGTTTAGTCTGATAAGTTGGATTTCTAGAGTTTGAAAGGGGATTGTGGTTTGTTTTGCAGACATTCAACATGTACTACTATGAGTCCAACAATGCCAACCTGTGGTTCATCAAGGAAAGCCAGTATGTCAAGATCGATACTATTGCTGCAGATGAGAGTTTTACACAGGTATGGATGCACACACACGCACACACAAACTCACACACACACACTCACACACACAAATAAAGACCAACAAATGACCTTGTAGCTACCACTAAAATATGCTGATGTTTTTCTTGTAGAACTTCTTCAAAAGCGAAACAGAGTGACACAAAGGTATTAGTCTTTCCCAGTGCCACTGTTTCCTGGCCATCTCTTGTACTGTGTTTTTAAACTGATTTGAACATCAAGGTCAGTCTGTTTTAGGGATGGGTACCGAGCCCCGGTATTAAACGGGCCCCGGGGCTGAATTATTAAAGACCGTGGTACCGTTAAGCTCCAACGTTATCGGTCTTTTTATCGGTACTGGATACATTTAAAAAATATGTCATATGTATTATTGCTACATAAACATTATATTGCAGTTTTAGTTTCGCCAACTCCGTTTATAATATGCAATAAGACTACAAAATGCGTCGATGACGTATTTTTGATCTTTCCAATCCAGACGAGAGATCTCTCTCTCCCCCGTCTGTGTGTGAGGGGGCAGGGCAGTTTACACACACACGGCTGCTACATGCATACAACACACACACACGGCAGAGATGGCAGAGAGAACTAAGCGCTCCAAGGTGTGGTTAAATGTTACCCGTCTCAATGTGGATAATGCTCGTTACCAAAAGTGCAATAAGAGTTTAGTATTTAAGGGCGGTAACACGAGAAATTTGTCTAAACATTTAGCAAAAGTGCACCACATTCAGACGGAGAAATGCACCGTTTTCGACTGTCTTTCTAGTAGCGCTGTAGCCCCATCCACGAGTAACGTTTCCACGTCAGGAATGTTATGTATACCTTAATCTTCCTCCAGAAGAACCGTTAGGCCTTTTGCAGCATACCTGAATGCCCCACCTGTGTTGCCCTGTACCACTGTATTTATGCAGTAAATACTTGTTTTTTGTTTGTTTTTTACAGTTCTATAAGTTCACATTATTTACAATTTGTTTAATTAATTTACTTTTTTTTATTAAAAGAACCGATAAGAGTACCGTTAAAGGACCGGATCAATACGTGGTATCGATAAAAGTAGTAGTACCGTTAAAACTATAACGATACCCATCCCTAGTCTGTTTGTATATGGCCATCAAATCCTCTAGAACATGTTCATAATTACATATTCACCATTTGCAACCAACTCTAAGAAAGAGCATTGTAGAATTAAATGTAGCTAAGATTAAAACGTAGTTATCTCATTCCACTTGCCAGTGGTTTTGAGGATAGTAATTATTTCCTTGAAAATGCTGGAGTTTCAGGCATCAACATCTACCCAAATAGATATAGAAGTTTTTAGACCAAAAACTATCCTCTAATACATTTAAATGATGCTATCAAAATTAACGCATGTAAAATGTCCTCCTTCTGCAGGTGGACGTTGGTGACCGCGTGATGAAGCTAAACACGGAGGTGCGGGATATCAGCAACCTGAGTAAAAAGGGCTTCTACCTGGCCTTCCAGGACTTGGGCGCATGTATCGCTCTGGTCTCAGTCAGGGTCTTCTACAAGAAGTGTCCTCTCACTGTTCTTAACTTGGCCCAGTTCCCCGACACGATCACTGGCGGAGACACGGCACTGGTGGAGGTCCACGGTCTGTGTGTGAACGCCTCTGAGGAGTTCGAGGCTCCTAAGATGTACTGCAGTGCAGACGGAGGCTGGCTGGTTCCCATCGGGAGGTGTGTGTGCAAACCGGGCTTCGAGGAGAACAAGGACGTCTGCCAACGTGAGTGGGGGTCTGGGGGCATTGTGGGATTTATTTGTGTGGAAATGTGTTTGTTTGTGTGAGAGAAAAAGGATACATTTAGAGAGTTGGAATAGCATGTATCTTTGTGAGCAAAAGTCTCATAAAGGTTGGCCTTCTGAATTAATTTGAAAACTGAGTGTCAAGTGTGACGCTGAGTGAGATTCTTCAACAGCTTACAAAAGTGCTCTTGCGATTGAAGCACAGCAATCATATCCATTCTGCCATACACGACGAGAATATTTTATGTGACTGATCTTTATTTTGCTGAACAGTGTGTGAATGTATGAATTCTGCTGTGAAATTGAGGATGAAGTGACTGTGTTTTTAGGTTGCTGATGTGTGTGTGTCAGTGTGGGTGTCATCGCCCCGAGTGACTTGTATACACTGCAAGGACAGTTCTAGCAGAGTAAAAGAGTAGCAGCTGCTTTGAGGCATCTCCTATCTTTCCATTGTTTTTGTGTGCTTGTTTGTCAGAAATGAATATCTCATCTTCCCTGCTGAGTATGGTAGAGGGGTACGAGTGTGTGTGAAATAAGTGCTTATTGATGTGTGTTGTAGGAGAGGAAAAGGTATGCCTTAGGAAGAAGAGATTATTGAATCGTAAAACTTCAAATATGGCGCTTGCGTGTGCACATACTGTGCGTGCATGCATTTGAGTGTGCACACTGTATTAGACTCACACTGTCACCTTTCCCCACGGGCTCGCTTCCTCCCCGAAAAGTAAATAGAATCATAGATATTCATCGCTGCATACTAGGAAATTGGTGCATAATGAAAATTCACTTGTTTTGGAGAAGCAGCAGCCAAGACGCCCAGAAAACTTGGCAGTTGGGCCTTAGAGACAAGTGAAGAGAACAGAAGCTGTACTCTCCAGCTCCCTGTCTGGTAATGTGCACAGATTGTGGCAGAACTGGCTGCGTCTCAATCACCAAACGCAGACTGTTGAGCTGCATCGCTGTCTTGTAAACATTCAAAGCTTTGGTCATGTGACAGGTGATCTCAGGTTTTCAATTTATTTCACTACCTGCATGCTATACAGTGTAGATCTATGTTGCATTCCCTGTATTGAAACGTTATTTAAAATCAGTCGGACACAGCAAAGCGGTTGACCTCAGTGATCTCTATGACCTCATCAGTCTGCTGCCTAAGTCTTATCACCCTGGAGAGAATAAATAGAGCAAGGTAAGCACGATTAACAAACTGCCTTTAACTCAATAACAGCACGTGTATGTGTGTTGATGTAATGAGTCCTTTTGTTAGTCAGAGGTCAGGGGTCAGGAAATATATGTGTCCCTCGTAACTTATAGCCATGACAGATGTGGATGTGTGTGTGTGTGTGTGTGTGTGTGTGTGTGTGTGTGTGTGTGTGTGTGTGTGTGTGTGTGTGTGTGTGTGTGTGTGTGTGTGTGTGTGTGTGTGTGTGTGCAGCACGGCAATACAGGTGTCTGCAACACAGGATGGAAAGCCAGGTTTTCCATTTCAAGGCATATGCTGTGTTGTAGCAATTATTCTGGAAACAATCAAATAGCAAATTTTCCAATAGACTTACATTTCTTCGTGGTGAATTGAAATCCCTCCGCCGCAGGGTTGTCTATAACACTTACTCAGTATTAGAACAAATACATTTTTGTGGGGTCTAGTAAGGGATTTGCATAGCAATGAAATTACCTCCTCATACAGCGAGATAATTTGCTGTCCCACTTATATCGCGATAAATAAATGTTTCGATACCGTCGTGAGATTGACAATTCTTTTTTTTTAAAAACCTTTATTCAACCAGATGGTTCAAGGGAGACCTGTCCAACATGGCAGCAAGCAGGTTACAACATGAACATAAAACAACAGATAACACAAAAATACATCGTATTTACAGGGCTACATTTACATACCTAGAGACATAGACAAGTACCAACAGTATATTTATATCTCGCCCTGTCATTAAGCCTCACCTTCTTGGCAAAAACTGTATTGTTTTTGAAGTGGTGGAGAGACAATGCACAGTTTTACCCACTGCTGTCACCCATGGCCAAAGCATTTGTCTGATGATGCGAGTGAGTGAGTTAGTGAGTTTCAGTTGAGTTATTTGAAAAACTAAAGTGAAACTTGATTTATTTTCTTGCAGGGTCTGATTATTATATTTTTGACTCTTTAAAATACTACTATCCTACTATAATGGTAAAAAAAAGGCAAGATACAATGTTAAAAATTCAACTTTCTTTTTCAATATCGCGATAAATATCGTTCCGTGAGTTATTGGTATCGTTTGGTATCGTTACATCCCTATTTTCTAACATGTCTCATATTTGTGTGCAGCCTGTGAGATAATGCTAAATTAACTCCCTGGAAACTATTTTTATTAAAATGATATCCGTGCTATTCTGATGTTGTTCCCTTCCCTCGTCACAATTTCACTTAACCACCTAATGTAGCTGCTTCTGTAATCAGCCTGCTTTTAACAAAGACATGGGAGGACACAGAGAAGAGCAACATCCCAGTGCGTTGCGCTTTAATGTGTCCCTGAGAGAACGAGGGCCAGGCTTTTAAAGAGTCCTCTCAGCGCTCAGCGTCAGCTCCAAACAAAAGGTTCCTGCCCTGACACAGTGTGTAGGTCTTCCATAGGGAAAACACACTCGGCTAATGCATTTAAATCACCCTCTCTCGTCTGCCGTCACACAAAGAGAGGAAAGGGTGAGAGCTGTGGAGAGGACTGGAGGAGCATTCATAACTACCATTATTGAGGTGAACAAGCCTTTTAATGGATGCCTGGAATTCCCTTTTTCTTGCTGTTGTTTTCGTCTTTTTCAGCCATTTAGCTGCTCTGATGCTCATTGTTTTTTCTTGTTATAAAAGTGAATGTTCTAGCCGTGTTTTGTTCTTTCTCCTCTTCTTTCTCTGTCTCTCTCTCTGACCCTGTCTCTCTCTGTCCCTGTCTCCCTCTCTCTCTCTCTCAGTGTGAGGCGCTAATGGAATCATTACTGGCCTCTCTGTGTTAGACAAACACCAGACACCTCCAATTATAGCCTTTTTTCCTCAATCCCTGGCTGCCTCCCTTCCTCCCTGCTATTTTCTAACCTTGCTCTGGTGTCTGCTTCTATAATGGTGGCTGTTCTTCACCTCTCTCCCGATACAAACCTCCCATTTTGCTCCTCACCCATCCTTTACGATACTGTCTTCCTTTTTCACCTCACCATTTTTCTTTCTGTCTCCCTCCTCCTTCTCCTCGCAGCCCTCATCTCCTCTGTCTGCACTCGTTAAACATTTATAGATCACGGGTTCATCTGTCTCTTTTTCTATTTTCCTGCCCCATGCTTGCTTCTTATTCCCTAAAGTGAGGCGCTAAGTGTGTTTAAATGTGTGTGTGTGTGTGTGTTTTGATGTTAGACCCTGGATTCAATCTGGTGGATTGTTTGATGACAAAAAGGGATGTTGTGCAATTGGGTACTAATAAGATGGGAAACAAGAACAAAAATATGATTTATAAAACACAGTAGCTAATTGATACGTTATTTATTCATGTTTCTTCGAAATGTCATTGAACTCATCATCATTATGGCTGTAAACATGCAAAGCCAGGTTAATATAAATGGTTAGACACTTTTTTCCGAAGAAACAATTGGATGATTGCCTATAATTTACAGATACAGAAAACACAGATTTTAGAAAAAAAAGTTAACTAATTGTAAATGAACAATTATTTGTTCAAGTATCAAACCAAGCTTTATCAGACTGTAGATACACAGACCGTCATTGTTGGTCAGATCATTAGAATTTAGTTTTTGGTCTGTAAAAAGAAACACTCTAACCAGCCCCGTGCTGTAATGTTTAACATCGCAACCTCAATACATATTTGTATTTTCATTTCTGTGAACTGCAGTAAACACACCGCTGCTCCGATTGCTCTGCTGCTCCATCACATGTAAATCATACTTATCTGCTTTGTCAGGAGTTACATAATCTCTGCCTCCCTCTCTCTATCACTCTTTCTCAAACTCTCTCTCTCTCCCTCCCTGCCACATACATTTGCCCCCCCCCCCCCCCCCCCCTCGTCAGCTCTGTTCTCTCTCTCTACCCCATGCAGAGGCCTCTGTCAGTGCAGCCCGAGCCCCCTGCCTCGCTGGCTCTCTTGCTTTCTTTTCTCTCTGTTTAGTGTCTGTCTCTTGTGCATTCTGTTTCTGTTCTCCCTCTCTGTTTCTGTCTGCCACTGTTTCCTCTAACCCCCTCCATTTCCACCTCGTACTCCTCGCCCTCTCCTGCCGTCTTTCTGTCTCACAGCTGGTGGGGAATGTAGTGTATTCTCCTCTCAAACCTCTCCTCCTGCTTTAAGCCCTAGAGGTACACGCTGAAGGGCAGGAGTGTGTATGTGTGTGCAGCTGTGACTAGACTATTTGTGTGTGTGTGTGTGTGTGTGTGTCCTGTCCTTCTGTGTGTGTCTGACAGCACCAATTACTGCCTCAGATGCCAGAGAGATGGAGGAGACGGAGTGGAGAAGGAAAGACACCTGTCACCTCGATACAAGTTTTCTTGCTCTCTCATCTCCTCTCTCTCTTTCTCAGCAGGCAAAAATAATATAGGTCGGAGTGACATCGTCCGTCCGTCGGATATATCTGTCTAATGGTCTCCTTCTCCTTCATTCGTCTGTTTGATGCTGCCAACATAAAGCAAAAATGTAGTTTACTAGTGGAACTTCACATCAAAGTCACACCGAACTCTCTAGTCTATGTCACTTAGCTCTCCCGCTGTTCTTTTCACTTCTGAAAGTGGATTGAAACCAAAGTGGGAAAGAAACACTGAGAAACAATCCAATGCGTTTACACTTCAGTGTGAACATTTGGCTGTTGATGCAAAGATAATGGGTTTGAGATATTGAAAACATATATACATTTAGCTATTTCTGAGAGTTTAAATAAAACATTGAGGTCAATCAAGAAATAATTTAACCAGTTGATAAATATGTGTCATTTTGCGTTGGTTGTAAAGTA